CTCCAACCTCCCCCCAGCCGGGTCCCCCCTTCCAGCCGGGCCCCCCCTTCCAGCCTCCCCCCTTCCAGCTGCTCCCCAGCCGGGGACCCCCCGTTCCAGCTGCCCCCTGTGCCCCAGCTGCACCCCAGGGCCAGACCCTGTAGGACCCCCCAGGCCCGCATGCCCCCACCCCCACTTGCTCTCCAGCTGGAGCTGGGTTGGTTTTCTACCCGCAGGGGGAGGGTACCCCCCGTCTGTGTTTGTGCTGCTGGCCCAGGGCTGCTAAAAACCTGCCCCTGTCCTGGCCTTGGGGGGCCCCCTGACAGCCTGGGGCTCTCGGTGGCGGCTGACCCAGCCTGTTCAGCATGGCTGCGCTCCGGGCTTCGCCCACGGGACCAGCCGCTCGCTCTCCGGGGACGGGTATTTTTAGAACCGCGGCGTGTGATCTCCGGAAGAGGCGAAGTCCCGGGCAGTGGCCCAGCGGTGCCAGGTCGGACTCGAGCCATGTCCAGGCCAGGAGTTCTCCCCTGGGCTGTGCGCCCCGGGAGGATGGGGGGGCATGAACAGCTTTCAGGGGCTCCGAGCGGGACGGGGGACTCCTGGACTTCTCTGTTGGCACCTAGGGTCACCCTCGGGAAAGCCTCCAGCTGTAGGCGGTGATGGCCTCCCCTCACGTCACATCACATCAGTCATGATAACTAGATGTTGTTGGTACTGAGGAGGTGGCGCTGCTGTGGGGTCAGGGGTGGGGGGAACACTGGGCGCTGGGAAGGCCTGATGCCCTGTGTGTTTGGCCAGCTGCCTTTCTGTGCCTCAGTTTCTCCATGAAACGGGCTAACACTGCTTAAGGGCGGTGCCCTCCCAAGGCACGTGTGACTTAGTAGTTCAGGCCAACCAAGGAGTGGGTCCCGCTCCTGTGGGGATGGGCACGGCAGAGCTCGTGCCAGGAGGTGATGTGGGCGAAGCTACGGAGAGCCGCGAAGTGCGGGACGTGGCCTGTCCCGGGTGAGAGCATGCTGAGAGGAAGAGTGAAGGTTTCACTGAGTGGAGACAGGTCCGGGCCTTTCCCATCCTGTCCGGATGTTTTGGAATTGCTGCCCCTCTCTCGGGGTGGCCGTACCCCGCTCGTTAGGAAGTACCAGCCTGTGCCCTGCAGACCCGCTTATAAATACTCCCAAGGGAACTTTGATCTTAAGACCATTGGTTGGCTGGGGGTGGGAGAGGGTTCAAAATTCCCAGCGTTGTTGGCTGGATGACTTGGCAGAGCTCAGAGCCGGTGCTGGCTCTGCACCCCGGAGAACTTGCCCAAAGCTGCTGTTTGGCAGCTCAGGACACTTCGGGCAAACCCGGGCGGGCATGTGGGCTTCCTTTCCTGGGTCCCTGGAGTCCCGAAATTCCCAGCTGGCTTGAGGGCAGGCTGGGATCCCAGCCCTCCTGCTAAATGCCTGCTGGCTTGGGTCAGGGTGCGAGTCCTGAAATCTCCTTGTTCTGGGTCTTTCCCAGATAAGGGGCCAAGTTCCCCCTGGTGCGACCCCACAGGAGTTAGCAGGGTCTGTTTTCCCCAGCTGGTGCCAGCCCTACCTTGGGGGCAGGGGGTTAAGGCCCATTGGTCTCCTGTAGGGCAGCCTCACCCAGGAGGAATGTGCTGGGAACGGGATGAGTCACATGCTGTAACCAGAGGTCGGAAGTGCCTGGGAGCTGAGATTTGCTAGGAGATGGGGGGTGGGTGGGTGGGTGGGGGGAAGTGTATTAAGCTCATCCATTCCTGGCCTGGCGGGGGAGGAACTCGGGCTGGGTGGTTAATTGTTCCTGCTCTGGGGGGGATCCTTCCTAGATGGCCTCTTGTGGGGCAGCACCTGACAAAAGGGGCTGGTGCCCTGTCTTGTGTTGGGGAACCCCCCCAGCTAGGAACCCCGTCCCAGCCGCCCTGCGCTGCTCCCCTGAGCCCCGTGGCACAGGCGGGGCCATCCTGGAGCAGCTGTTCTGGGGCTAGGGTTAAACCCGTAACTGAACTGGGGGTTCGGGGTCCGGATGGCTCAGCCCGGCCCACGATGCCAGCGAGAGTGAGAGCCCCTGGAGCACGGGGTGCGTTGGTGCCCCTGTGGCATCGGGGGGGGGGGGAGCGGCTGGCCAGCCACGGTTGGGTCTGCTGATGTCTGTTTTGCGTTCGCAGGGCAGACGCTGCTCGCGGAGGACACTCTCTCCCCTCGCTTTCGGAGGCAGGCCGAGACTCCTGCTAGCTGAGCTTCTCGGCTCCCGCGCTGTGGACGGGCCGTGCGCCCCCCCCGAGGGGAACACAGGGAGCAGGAGAGGCCTTTCCAGCCGCTCCGGGGCCATGGCTGAGTGGCCGGGGCCCAGGGCCGACCCCGAGCAGATGATCTGGAGCCCTGGCTCCAGCATGGCTGCACTCCGGTCCCCCACGGGCTTGGAGGTGAAGCTGGGCTCCCTGGTGACGCTGCTGCTGCTGACCATCTTGTGCGGCCTAGCTCCACTCTGCGTCTTCCGGCCACACGGGAGCGGGGCCGGTTCGTTGGGTAAGGCCCGGCCTGCGGGGCGCGCCAGGCTCCGGGGCAGCTGCTGCTCAGCACAGCGAAGAGGTGGCCCTGGCCCCGGGCTCCAAGTGTCTGGTGACTAAGCAGCCAGACCCAGGGTCTGGGGCAGCACGATCACCCCCAGGGCACGGGGTGGGGTGGGCGGGACGGCTGAGACCAGAGCCATTCACCCAGGGTCAGTGGCGGAGGCAGGATCAAAGCCAGGCTCCTGGGATCTGGGCCGGGCTCCTGCTGGCTGTTCTGCCGCCGGGGGCTCTGCTAGCCCCTTCCTCGGCTCCGCTGCCCGGGGGGAGGTTTGGGGGCGACGCCGCTGGCAGCCGGAAGCATTGAGAACCCTGCAGCATTTCACTGCCGCTGAGCCGGAGCCTGGGCGTCCTCATGGCTAGTGGCACCTGGGGCCGGAGGGCAGAGAGATGGGGCTGGGGAAATGCACTGGCGTTCCAGGACAGGGGCTCAGTTTGATGGGCTCCAGGCGCCCAGCTGCGTCTGTGTCCCCCCCCGAAACGTCACTGGCGGGGCAGTGCTTGGGGCAGACTGTGCATTCGTAACTCGCCAAGCGGCACGTGGCTTCGCTCGTCACCCGCAGGCTCGATCGGACCCTGAAGGGTCCCATCTTGGAGCCCAGCTCGCTGGCAAGCCACATTGGCGCCCTCGCAGAGCAGCAGAGCCGTGCGTCTCCCTGCCTGGGCTCGTCATTCGTGTCTCCCTCCCTCCCTGCCAGACACACGCAGAAAAGTCCTGAGCTTGGTGAGCTGCTTTGCGGGTGGCGTGTTCCTGGCTACCTGCCTCCTCGATCTGGTCCCCGACTACCTGGCGAGCATCAACCAAGCGCTGGCTTCCCTGAGAGTCACAGTAAGTGTGTGCGATGCTGGAGGCCAGACGAGACGGGCACAATGCTCCTTCTGGTCTGTGTAACGGGAGCACCCAGAGCCGGGGTCCCCATCGGGCCGGGCGCTGCCCTGATCCCTGGTGGGCTCTGTGGGAGACCCCCTGCTGCTGCACGCTCAGGTCTGCTCGGGGGCTGGGGGGAAGCCGTGGGGCTCTGGACACAGGCCTGGGGCGGGTGGTTTGTGGGGGGCCCTGGCGGGAAGCACCGAGGCTCTGACTGAAGTGGGATTTTCAGGGCTATGGAATGGGGGATGGCTGGGGGGGCAGTGGGGATGCTCTGTGTGCTGAGAGGCAGAGCTCCTGGCTGGGGCGGGGTGGGGAGGGGGCTCTGGGGCTGGGCAGGGCTGCCCGTGGCCAGGACCTGTTGCTGTTTGCAAACCCGGTGTCCCTGCAATGGCTGGCGGGGGGTGTGTGTGTGATGCTGGGCCGGGCAGAGTCTGGCCTATCGGACGGCAGGGGCTTGTGGTGACTCACTGGAGCCGCTTGCCTCATTGAAGATCCTTCCCCCCGGCCCCCGCCTGGCCTTCCCACGCGGCTTCCTGGCAGCCGCGGCCCCAGCTTCTCGGCAGTGATGCCTTCTGCTCCAGCATCACTGGGGGGGCAGGTCTGGGGCACCTGGCTCGGGGGTGTGCGGGGGAAGCCGGGGGCTAGGCTGGGCCGAGGTCTGATTAAAATCCTAGCAATGCCCCTCTGGCCCCGGGAACCTGCAAAGGGAAAAGCCGACTCCCCGCTCGCTGCTGGGGGCAGGCCCCCGCGCTCCAGCCGGGCCCCTCGCTGTGGCGGGGGGAGCTGCAGCATGCAGGTGGGGACAGCGCATTGTGTCCCCTGCGACCGGTGGCGCTGAACCCTCTGGAGCTGGAAATGGGGGGGCCCCTCTGCTCTGCCCCCCATCTCCCGAGGGGCGTTGCATGCTTAGCAGCAAGATGGCTGCTGTGGGGGCGGGGGAGGCTCTCGCCCCAGGCGGGCAGGAGGTGAGGCCCTGGGGCGAGGGGACGGGGCACCTGGGGACCTTTGGCACCAGCCCTGTGGGCCCGGGGAGGAGCGGGAGGTGCCGAGGTCCTCATTGACCTGCCTTTTCCCTCTGCAGCTCCAGTTCCCCCTGCCGGAGTTCATCCTGGCCATGGGCTTCTTCCTGGTGCTGGTGATGGAGCAGATTGTGCTGGCCTACAAGGACCAGTCTGGCTCCCTAGAGGAGACGCGGGCTCTACTGGGGGCCTCGGCCCAGGACAGCACCGTGCAGTCCCAGCACTGGCAGGAGGGGCCCCTGCGCCCCGCCTGGGGCTCTGCCCAGGAGCGCCCCCACGTGCACGTTGACTTCAATGCGCACTCGGCCATCCGCTCCTTTATCCTGGTCTTCTCGCTCTCGCTGCACTCCGTCTTCGAGGGGCTGGCCGTGGGGCTGCAGGAGGCCAGCGCCAAGGTGCTGGAGATCTGCCTGGCCCTGCTCATCCACAAGTGCGTCATCGCCTTCAGCCTCTCGCTCAAGCTGCTGCAGGGCCGGCTGCGCCCCCGGGCCGTGGTCGGCTGCCTGCTGCTCTTCGCCCTCATGTCCCCGCTGGGGATCGGCCTGGGGGTGGCCCTGACGGAGACCTCGGGCGCCCTGCACCAGCTCTCCCGCAGTGTGCTGGAGGGGCTGGCCACCGGCACCTTCATCTACATCACCTTCATGGAGATCCTGCCGCACGAGCTCAGCTCCTCCGAGCAGAGGATCCTCAAGGTCATCCTGCTCCTCGCCGGCTTCGCCCTGGTCACCAGCATCCTCTTCATCAAGATCTGAGCTGCCCACGGCCCCCACTGCCAGGGACAGACCGGGACTATGGGGGCAGATGCAGCCCTGCGGCGGTTCCTGGCTGATCCAGCTGCCTTCTGACCCGGGTCTGGTGCTTGGGAACCCTCCCGCCACAGCCCCGCGGCGAAGCGATTGCCCAGCCTCGGCCAAGGAGCAGCACGTCTGCCCTGCCGGCAGGAGTTCTGGCACTTGTGCCCCTGCTGCCAGCAGCGGGGGATGGATCCCAGGACTGGCGGGGGCTGGCCCTGCACTGGAGGAAATGCTGGGGGTCCTGCTCTGGTAGAGTGCTGGTCGGTCCCTCTGCACCCTGCCTGCTGCCAGGACCCATGGATTGATCCCAGCGCCCCCTGAATCTAAACCTGCCTGGGGCTCAGGGCAGCTTCCTCCACCCTGGCATGGCTCCGCTAGGGCCCCAGCCTGGCCATGCTGGGGGAGAGTCAGAGGATGCTTCAATATGAGCACTGCCCCGTAACCCTGCTGCAAAGCCCTCGGGCGCATGCTTGGCTGAGCTGGGGCCTGCGGGGGCACCGGGGGTCTGAGGTAGCTTCGCTGCCCCCAGCTCCTCTGCAGGGGGGCGGTTGCCCAGCTGGCAGCATTTCCCTCTCCATCCCCGGGAAGGCCGGGACGGCGTGTTCCTAGCCGAGCCCTCAGGCCAGGAGAGTGCAGGCCCTGCAGTGCCAATGCCTCCTTCCGCTCCCCTCCCACTGCAGTTTTCAGCCAATTGGAGGGCAGTGTTGCCTAGTGGCTAGAGCACTGGACTGGGCCTCAGGAGCCCTGGGGTCTATTCCTGGCGGTGCCCTGGGCGATCTTGGGCAAGTCACTTCACCCTCTGTGCCTCAGTTTCCCCATCTGTAACTGGGGGACCGTGATCCTGACCTTGGTGCAGTGCGACGGCTGAGAAGAGGAGCTGGGAATGATGAATTATTTTTTTAAGGAATACAGAGTAAAGACTGAGTCTGTGGCCTAGTTATCCACACCGGGCCGGCGGCCTAGCTCAGCCAGTGAGATCAGTGACGTGGCGCCGGTTCACACCCGCTGGAGGGTACCAGTTCCTGTACCTGTGGTTGGGGGGATGTCCCTGCCGGGGCAGTCCCCTGCTCGTACCGGTATAAAAGTGCCTTAGAGCCCTCCAGCGTGGTCCCCTTCCCGCATGGAGTCTTCCAATGGAGCCACTGGTGTCGCCCTGGGCCGGGCCAAGACCCCAAGGTGCCAGGAGCTGCGCGGATACCGAACAAAAAGATGGGCCTGCCTCAAAGAGCTTCCAGCATCTAAAGTGCAGACCTGGCTTCCTGGGCTACACAATCGAACGGCCTTAACCCCACACCACTATTTTTATAAACAGCCTCTTTCCAGCTGCCTGGGAGGTGGTAGGAAAGCCACGCCCAGCCGCTTTACGTACAGAGTCTATTTTACTAACGGCCTGTTTCTCCTTCCCGCCTTGCTGGTGGAAACGCAGCTGTTTGGTTAAAATACTGACAGAGAAACTTTGAGAATTTGAAAAATAAAATAACTTTAATCTCTGTAGTTTTTTGGGGGCTTGTTTTTTAACCCCCCCCCCCTCCGCCCCGGTCAGATCGCCAGGGCAGTGACGGCTCCTGTTTTTTAAAGAGCCATTTCTCTATGGGTGACGTGTCTCCCCCCTGTCCTCCCCCCCCGAATCAGCACCAGGCCTGGGCCTGTGTCCGTCCGGGGTGCACAGACGGGCTTCGCTACGTGCACAGGAACGTGGGGCAGGCTACGTGGCTCTAGCCAGCTGCCCACGCCATGTCCGTGTGGGTCCTGAAAAGGCCCTGGTGCGCTCGGCCCAAAGCTGGAGCTCAGAGCGCATTACGGGACCCTCGGGCTGCAAGGGCAGCGGGCTTGAGCGAGGTCGATCTCCATCCCAGCTTGGTGCGCGCTGTTTGCTCTGACACAGCCAAGGGGGGCTCTAGGACGGCAGGCCGCTTTCTGTCAGCCCCACTGAGCGAGGTGGTGGTGGGGCACGGCAGAGCCCTCATCTGCGCAGGAGCATCCACGTCGCCTCTAGAGGGAGCCGCCGCTCTGCATGTTCGCAGCGCTGTTATCCTGCTGCTGCACAAATCTCGGCAATCCCCCGGTAATCCCTTAATGCACTCGGCAGTACCTTGGCGTCAGCGTGTTCATCTTTAACTCCTGCCTGGGCAGTGCCGGAGCGGGTCAGTGAGAGCAGAGCCCTCTGGGCCAGCCGTGAGCCCCTCTGCTGCTAACGGGGTTTGAATCCTGCCTCTTCTGGGTCCCCCCCCCCCGTTGACACCAACGTGTATAGCTGGCCACTCAGCCCAGTGCCGGGACCTAAAAGCACCATCCTTGCCTTGTCGACTCCCGTCGGTTTCCCCAGTTCCCTCCGGCGTACCCGGCCCATAGGGAGCCTGGGCCAGCGCTGGGTCAGTTTCACGAAGCAGGACAAAGCCAGACGCTGGAGTAACAGAGGGGCCCGAATGTCGCTTGTGTTAGTGCCGACGTCACCTACGATCTCTGTGCCTTTGGCCCCGGCCCCTCACAGCTGCAGTTAAAAAATGTTTGCATCAGAAATGACCCAGGAAACTCACTGACGCTGAGGGAAGGGATCCCCCAGCGTTTTACATTGTCTGCATGAATGCTTTGTGCCTCTCTCTGATTTCGGGCCTTTGCCTCTTCGGGCTGCACCTGGCTGAGGGGAGTGCGGAGGAGAACCCTGGAGCCATGAGGCCGTGCTCCCAGACATGCTGAGCTAGGCACTGTTCGCACAGACGCTCCCAGCTCAGCTGTCCTGCTGTGCAGCTGTAACGGGGGAGAGGGGCCAAATTCCAAACCTACGGGGCATCTCGCTTTACCCAGCTAACGGGGCGAGAGCAGCAGTCTCTGCCCCTTGGCTCTGCAGAAGAAATTCACAGAAGTGCCAAGCAGGCCCGTGACGCATTCTAGTAGAGGGCAGTGACTTACCAACAATCTCCACTAGCCCCCCGTGCCACAGCCTGCCTGTCTGCAGTAGGATGGAGCAAGAAGTGCTTCAGGCTTTTGGCTGGTACTGAACGAGCCCTGCTCGCAGGCCTCTGGGCTAGAACAAATCTCCGGGGGTTACTGCCCTCTCAAGTCATGCTTAGCACTTGTACAGGCCTTTCAGCTGCAAACCCGGCTTGCCTGCCAGCTTGGATCTAGGTTGCCAGGGAGGCAGCATGCTAGCCCCGCTGCTTCTGGAGTTTGTTTTCCATTGGGAAAGCTCTGGTCTCTCGCGGGAAAGCAGAGCTTGGTTTGATGGGGAGGTTCATTGTGGGGACGTTTTTAGGTTGAACTGTATCACAGAATGGGTTGGAAAGGAGCCCAGTCGCTAATTTCACTCTGCTTCCCGCAAGGTCGGATTGTAAAACGCTATCTACTGTAACGTGCCCAGCGGCTCCAGGACTCCTGGTCCTGCCACAGACCCCTTAAGAGACCTGGGGCAAGTCCCTTCGCTGCTCTGGGCCTGTTGCCCCAGCCAGAACAGAGAGGAGGGGATACCGTTCTTCACCGTCTCAGGCAGGTTTGACGAGGTTTTCTCAGTGCATGTTTGTAGAGTGCTTTGAAATGGGTTTAGGGCCAAGGCCCTGCTTGGTGCCGGATAACGCACGCCTGGCCCTGCAGAGCGACAGAGGAGCCAGGCAGAGCTGGGGAATCACTGCGTGTGTGCGCCTTGCCTTTGCCGTTCAGTCTGACTGAGGCTGTTCTGTTGCAGCCAGCGCCTCTGCCTGAGGGCTGTGTAAGTCACTTGACTGGACGCTTTCAGGTGGTTCTTGCCTTTTCTCTTCCTTTTCCTCTCGGGCTGAGAATTGCGCAGGGAACTGATTCCTGAAAATTCTTTTGGCGATTTTTAAAAATAATGCTGGCTGAGGTGTCGGCCGTGCGACGTGTTTTCAGGAGTGGAAGCAGATCAAAGAAATGCACTTTGTGCTTGGAACGGCAGCTGGGGGGAATCGGTAGCAGCGCGGGGATCCTGTGAGCGTTTGTTCCACCTGGCCTCAGCAATGGTGCAAGGGGTAGTCAGGTGCCAGGTTCACCAGGGCTGTGTGCAGTGTTCCCTTTCCTTGCACTAGTGCAAAGGGCAGTCAGGCCAGGTTCACTAGTGCCCCGTGCAAGTCCAGCGGCAAGCGTGCACCGGCTGTAGGGGTGCGCTGGCCCCGCTGCTGTTGTATCGGTGTAAAGCCACCGTCAGCTCAAGCCGTAACAAACGCAGGAGCCCCCGGCCCCCACCTGCCTCCCAGCCCCACTCCTGACAGGCCGTAGCGGGCCCGTGCGGTCCGGGCCGCCTGGGATGGATTCTTGGGGCATGAGTTCTAGGGCGCGCGGTGCACGGCGGGACCTGTAGTCTGCGAGCCCCGCGTCAGCCGCTGAGGAGTGCGCGCTTCCTCCCTGCGCAGGACTACAACTCCCAGCAGCCCTAGGCGGCGGCCCCGTCGGCGGCGCGCTAGGCGCTCTGGGAGCTGTAGTCCGTTTCCGCCGGCTGCCCCCTAGGGGGAGACCGGCGGGCGAGGAGGTAAATAAACTACGCCTCCCGTGATGCCCCGCGCCTCCGTGTTGTTCGGCGGCGGCCTGCGAGGCGGCGGCAGGCGCTGCCTGAGCAGGGAAGATGGCGGCGTCTGGCTCCGGGGCCGGGCCCGGGCCGGGCTCCTCGGCCGGCGCCGGCGCCTCCAACCCCCGCAAGTTCAGCGAGAAGATCGCGCTGCAGAAGCAGCGGCAGGCGGAGGAGACGGCGGCCTTCGAGGAGGTGATGATGGAGATCGGCTCCACGCGGGTGAGCAGGCCGGACCGGACCGGACCGGGCAGCGGACCGGACCGGCGCAGCGGACCGGACTGGGGCAGCGGCCGGGGGGGCGGGGGCGGGGCTCGGCTGTGACCCTGGCCCGAGCCCGGCGGGCAGAGCCCCGGGGTCGCTCCGCAGGGCGGGGGGCGGGGATCAGCCCGGGGGGCGGCGGGGGGAGCGGAGCGCAGGCCGGTGTCCCCGGCAGCCCTTGCCCGGTGCAGCCGGTGCCCGGTCGGGGGGTCGGACCGGGGCCGGGACCGGGGCCGGCTGACAGGTGCCCGTGGGTGGCGGCTGGTTTCCATCGCGGCGGGGGCTCTTCCTGTGCGTGGGGCCCGCAGCCCGAGCCGCTCGGCCCACGCCGGAGACACCAGCGCCCCGCGGCAGTGCCACGCGGGGGACCCGTGGGGGGCCCGTGGGTCTCAGGAGACGGGCCGGGCCGAGCCATCCTGCCGCAGCTTCGGGCCTGGGGGGCTTTCCCCGCCGCCGGCTCCTGCTCTCTGCCCCGAAAGCTCGAGGCCGAGCCCGGGGCTCCCTGCCCTAGTCTCCCTCCAGGAGCATCCCTAGGCGGGGTACAGCATGAGGGGCCGGCCTGGCTGTGAGCTGGGATATGGGACCAGGGGGGCCCCCCCACCCCAGAGCTGCCCTCCCCGTGGGCTCGGGGCCGACCCTCCCAATCCGTGCGTTGTCCAAAGCTGTCAGAAGAGGTTCGGAAGTGGCGAAGAGTAAACCCGGGCCCTGGGCCGGGCGGCGGAGCAGGAGGGGCAGCGCTGGGTCTCCACTGCCCTGGCTCCGGGGGCAGGAGAAGCCCTCCAGCAGCGAGGGGGACAGGCCCCGTATTTCTTTGCAGGCGATGGGGATGCGTGAACATGGCCAAATCCCAGGTTTGGCCAGCAGCCAGAGCCGCTGATTCTACTGGCCCAGGCTGCATCCTAGGCTAATGCCATCCACTCGTAGCGACATAGGATGCTCCAACCAGACGTCCTTCCCAGAAGAGCTGCTGGAGGCGCGGGGGGCAGGCACATGGGGGACAGCTGTTTGCAGCTGCAATTTGACATACAGGAGCTGAGAGATCCGGGGGGGCCCTTCCAGGTGCTGGGAGCTGCAGAGGATCTCATTCATGGCAGTGAGGGGACAGGGAGAGGCTGGCATTAGGCAGTGGGGAAGCCAGCTCCAGGAGGTGGGTGGGATCTGAAAAGGAGGGGGGGTTTGAACCGGTGTGAATGGGGAGCGCGTGGGCTTGAGCGAGGCTGCAGGGAGGGGATCGCACCTGGGAGCGGCGTTCCGAGTGAGTTGCACTCCGGGGACTCGGGAGGTCTGGCGCAGGGGGTTGCCCACCTCCGGGGGGCGGAGGTGGGGCTGAGGCAGCCGTAGTGCAGGCCAGGAGATGCCTTGGGAGGCGTCCGTCACCGGGGTCACTGCTCCGAGCCCGGGGCGTAATGCAGTTCCCGAGCCAGCTCCTTGGGTCCAGGCAGCGATTTGTCCCTCTGCGTGCTGAGCCCAGCGCTCCCTGACGGGCCAAGTGAGCCCTGCCCCAGACACACAGATAAGAAATGGCCAAGAGGGATGTGAGCTTGGCTGGGGTTCCCAGCCCCGACCGCTGGAAGGTGGTCCTGGCTGAGAGGCTGCAGGGCCCTGTTTGCGCAGTAAACAGCTGGTTAATGTACAGCAGAGCTGGGGGACCTGGCAGAACCGCCCTCCCTGCGACCCATGCCCTGCAGTGCTGCCCGGTGAGCCCGGGGCTGGCTGG